TCCAGGTCAAGTGCAATAATTGCGCAGGAAGCAGTGAATGATATGCCATTAAAATGAAAGCTTCTTAAGTTTGACCAACCTTAAGAACATCGGATTGTACATATTCTCATACATATCATCTGTGACACATGCAAGAGTTGCCAGACTGCCAGTCAGGCAATCAGAAAATTTGACAGCTTTCGCCTCTCCACTTAGGTCAGGTTCCTACATCGCCTACAATATGATTGGAACGATTATCCAGAATGGAAACCCAAGCTCAGCTGCTGCTGTTCACCATTACTTTTCACCATCACATCTACAATTAGCTAATTCCATTATTTAAAATTAGCTAGTTTACGCACAGATCTCATCTTGATTCTTGATGGTTAAATAGAGATGTCATGGCCATTAGTATGCTGAACCAATGTAGGACTTCAAGTATAAGGCAAAATAAACAAGAATGCTAATATTTAATTATGAAGATGTACTGTTCCTCTAACATTAGATTACCCTTTATAAATATTTCTCATAACTCAACTTACTACTTATCTGTGTGAGGTCTCACCGATATTACTTCTCTAATTGATTCCTAGAACAGAATTATGTTTCTAGGTAACTGGTCCTATATGCCATCTCCATTTGGTATAAATCATACTCTATAGAATTGTACTTAGGATTGACCTGACTACACACTAAAGCAAACTGTTTTTTTTTTTTTATAACTTATGCCGCATCAAGAAAGTCTTTCAGATTTGTTATACATAAGGGACATTTAGAAGGTCAATCTCATGTGCCCTCTTTAACAGTGTTTAGCAGGGCCGGATCTAGCCTCTCTGAACGAAGAGTGCAGTAAAAAAAAAAAGGTCAGGGGGCATAATGAAAACACTGTGCGAGTCACTGATAGATACAGTGTCACAACCTGCGAAACACTAAGTATGTATAAGGCTGTCATTGGATTAGGGTGATTAAACAGAGTGTGTCCCCTTATATCAAATGTACCTATCAGGGTTCCCATTTATATCAGGAGTCCTCATCAGAGTACCTCTTTATTTCAGATTCCCATTCAGAATACCCCCTTATATCAGGGTCCCCATCAGTGTTCTCTCATACATTAAGGCCCCCATTAGAGTATCCCCTTACATTATCTCTCCCAATCAAAGTGCCCCCTTATATCGGTGTCCCCATCAGAACACCCCTTACATCAGTGTCTCCATCAGAATGCTCCCTTACATTTGATTAGTTATCCCTATCAGAGTGCCCCCTTACATCAGGTGTCCCCATCACAGTGCCCCCTTACTTGGATTGTCCCCATCAGTGTGCCTCCTTACATCAACTGTCTGCATCAGACTGACTCATGGATCAGAGAATGCACTCTCAGAGACCTGGGGGGCATGACTAAAATTAGGGGGGGGGGGCACAGCCCTCCCCATTACCCCCTCCCTAGATTCAGCCCTGGTGTATATGGTTTGTAGCTATGTAGATGCACACAGAGTTATTTATTAAGATGGTGCAAAACACTTTGATGATGTGCCAATCCTAGGAAGCAATCATATTTCAACCTTTCTCTGAGCTGATGTCAGTAAACTGAGATCTAATAAGAAGTACCACATTCTCTAAACAATGATTTTTCTTTTTTTAAGACAATTGCCACCACTTTCGGGAGAACAATAGGCAAACAGCAAAATTCAAGCTATACCGACCTGGTCATGGAGGAAGAACAGCTTGTGTGCATGACCAAGAAAGAAATTGCATCATCTATGGCCTCCCTAAGACCCAAGCTTTGTCCCCTGACCAAGTGCATGTGTGTTTAGCGGTATGTGCAGTACTCACACTTGTATGAACTTCACATGCATTAGACATCATCTGGACAAAGTGGCCAGGTTAACATCTTCTGTATCAAAAAACTTGGACCTGGTCAGTATGGTCATCTTCCTGTTTCAGTAAAGCTACATCCTGATCTACATTTTCCTGATCATTGGACATGCTTTTCATTGGTGTTGCCTGCATCCTCCTTGCTGTTTGCTGCCTGCCCTGCATTGACATCTTTCTTAGTTCCTGTTGATTTTTGGTTGCACTTGTCTCCTGGTTACTGCTCTTTGCGGCCTGTCTTGACCTTGGCTTGTCTTCTAGCTTCTGCAGTTTGTTGCCTACCCTTGTCTTGTCACTTGGTTCTCTCTTTTTGTTGCTTGCCCCAGCTTGCCTTGTCTCCTGGCTCTTGCTGTTTGCTGCCTTTGTCAACCGTGGATTGTCTTCTAGCCACCGTGGTTTCCTGCACGTCCTGACCTTGGTATGCTTTAGGTTCCCAACGATTGCTGCCTGCCCTTGTCTTGTCTCTTGGTTGCTTTCTCCATCTTGCCTTGTCTCCTGGTTCTTGCTGTTTGCTACCTGTACCAACCTTGGCTTGTCTTCTATCCATTTCAGTATGCTGCCTGTCCTGACCTTGGTATGATTTATGTTCCCGACGATTGCTGCCTTCCCTTGCCTTCCCTTGTCTCCTGGTTTCCACTCTTTGCTGCCTGAACTGAATGTGGCTTGTGTCCTGATTTATCCTGTTTGCTTTCTATACTGACCTGTATTTGTTTCCTGCTCCCTGCTGTTTGCTTACTGCACTGATCTTGACTTGTTTCCTAACCCTTGCTATTTGTTGCTTGCCCTGCCTTTGGCTTTTCTTGCTGTCAACTGCCTGCCTGGATCATAGTGTTTAATTGCTGATTGCAGAAATTCCAGTTTGCTGCATGTCCTGACCTTGGTATGCTTTAGGTTCCCAACGATTGCTGCCTGCCCTTGTCTTATCTCTTGTTTGCTTTCTCCATCTTGCCTTGTCTCCTGGTTCTTGCTGTTTGCTATCTGTACCAACCTTGGCTTGTCTTCTAGCCATTTTCAGTATGCTGCCTGTCCTGACCTTGGTATGATTTATGTTCCCGACCATTGCTGCCTTCCCTTGCCTTCCCTTGTCTCCTGGTTTCCACTCTTTGCTGCCTGAACTGAATGTGGCTTGTGTTCTAAATTATCCTGTTTGCTTTCTGTACTGACCTGCTGTATTTGTTTCCTGCTCCCTGCTGATCTTGACTTGTTTCCTAACCCTTGCTATTTGTTGCTTGCCCTGCCTTTGGCTTTTCTTGCAGTTTCTGCTGTCAACTGCCTGCCTGGATCATAGTGTTTAATTGCTGATTGCAGAAATTCCAGTTGCCTTATTATGGCAGTTGATGCTATGCTTTCTGATATCTGTGATCACCAGGTTTTGTGACATCTACAAGCTAGAGATGCTATCACCTACTTTGGAGAACTATTCAGGAAGCACTTAGGGCAAAATGTAAACTGTACTGTACTTCCATGTCATTATTTTAATTGTGCACGAGGTTGGAGTTTTTCACGTACTTAAAAATCCCTGATACAGTAAGATTTAGTTGCAGAACCAGTATCGTCCAGGAAACTTTTGATGTTTCTCCAATTGCTATCTTGAGGGTAAGTTGCTACATTTAATTACCTAACCAACCAATCCCAGCTTGGGGCACTACAGCCAACATCTATTAAACTAATACATAGCTGTTTTATAGGCGATATTGTTTAAGGTTCCCAAATGTTTACCTTTTTATATTTGTTTTTGCTGCTCTGGACATATCAAAGCATGGGTTAAAGTACTTGGCAGCTTGGCTGTATGCCTGGTCTTGGGTTAAGCTGGGTAATTCCAGGAGCTTGTTCCTGGTCTTCAAAGGACATTGCTGTAATTTTCATAAGTTACAGCTAAGAGGAGAGATGCTTGACAAGCCAGACATTTTTGACTCATTCTGTCCTGTGTCCTGTCTTCCTGTACTGTGTTGACAAAGTTTAATAAGACATTGGAACTGAAAAAACTGCAGTGGTGAGTTTTTTTCACTCACTCTGGTAAGTATGTGGTTCTTGTAAGCATCAATGTATAAAAAAGGTGTCATATCATTTTTGGAGGATTCTGCAGGTTGCTTTAAAGAGGCCCTGGACTGCAGAAGCTGTGCCCATATGTGGTGAGCAGAGCTCAAAGGACTAGTAACAAATATTGACTAAAGGTTCACTGCAACTGATCTTTTCCCCTTTACTGATTTAATATGACTTGTACTGCACTGTGTCTTGATAGAAGTAGGGCATTGCTTTCTCATGTAATTGCTGCCCTCCTAATGACTGATGGAAGAATATTCAAGAAGCAGCAGAAGAGCTGGTGTAAGTACAGACCCACAGAATGGATTAATCAGATATTTCCTTTCACTGCACATCCCCAAATACAACTTCCCCTCCATCAAGCAACACAGTACTGACATCACTAGATGAAATCACACTGCAGGCTTAAAGAAGATCTATCATAAATCATGAATGTTTATTTTAAAGTTCTGCCTCCTATGGGAATGTAATACTTTGTCCCATATTTCCAAGTGCTTTCTAACCCTAGTCATGAGTTCTGAACCCCACCCCCTGCTGATCCAATCTTACAACAGCTTTGAAGGAGACGGCTGATTCATAGCTGTAGCTTGTCTCAGCTGAGAACACTTTCCTGAGACAAGTAATGGGAAGAGGAATACAGAGGCTGACACATTCCACCCTCCCTCTGCATTCCTTTTGCTGTCACTTGGCTCAGGAAAGTGTTCTCAGCTGAGACAGGCTACAGCTATGAATCAGCCATCTCCTTCAAAGCTGTTGTTGGGTAGGCTGTAGCAGAAGGGTTTGGAAGTGAAACAAAAAGAAAGCGCACCAACCTTGCGCATTACCTTAATACAAAACTGTGTTTTTGTTTTTCATTTCTTTTTGTTTCACTTTGTGGTAATGCGCAAGGTTGGTGCGTTTTCTTTTTGTTTCACTTTGCAGTATTGGTCGGGCTTCCCCAGCCTTGTTAAGAGCTGCACAACCATTGATCCATTGGTGGACAAACTTCCATAAGTGGTCTATCCACCCACACACCCTTGATCTGGGTCCCTGAGCGCAGGAGGTGTGTTGTTTCTGTTTCCACTGGCAGAAGGGTTGGGGGCAGGTCAGAACCAGGGGCGGACTGACCATTTGGAAACTTGGGCACTGCCCGAGGGCCCGGGGTCAGTAGAGGGCCCCATGGGATGCCCCTGGTATCTTTTTCATAGGCTTTTTTGAGTTTGGGCAAGGACACAGGGGCCTCATGATCCCCTATTGTCCAGGGGCCCCGTGAGTTGTCAGTCCGCCCCTGGTCGGAACTCCTACTATGGTTATAAATCACTTAGAAATATAGGGCACAGTATTACATGTATTTTATATTATAGGTAACAAAACTGTAAAATTAAGTCTAATGATAGATCTTCATCAAAGCACCAGAGTGCCTAGGCACAGGGAGTCCACTGCTATCTTTTAGGAGGAATTCTAGACAAAAGGTACATTTTTCCAGGGTGCAGATTAGGTAAAATTATCATTTCTGGGTGTTCCCTATAAAATAGCAACTTTTTACTTTTTGAATTCAATTCCACCACGAAGCACCCTTCTGGTCTAGCTATCACAAGAACATCATAAGCCCTAACCACTTTTTATTTGTGGATGTTTGGAGCCTATTCAGTGCTAGGAAAACAAATATGAACTTCAGCAGCACAGCTTATCTTCTAGCATACAATTAGGAGAAACACACTAGGCTACAAAAAAATTAATGTTGCACATGGTGACTTCAGTTGTTTGTATTGCTATCACCATTACAAAAGCAGTTATCGATCTCACGGAAAGTCACCTCTTCTAAATTATATGCTGAATGCACCCATTATATTTTATGATGCTTTCAAGATGCTCCATGTATTCCATGTTTAGAAGAATGTATTGAAGAAATCAATAATTTTTATAATGATAGTCATTGCAGATAAATCCATAACATAGAACAGGTGGCTGCTGGTAATGTGGTGAAGCTCAAATATTTTATATAGCATGTAAGGGATTAAGGAGTGTTTTCTCTATTGTTACCATCAGAAATGGATAAAAGCAGACTTGGGTCATAGGTAAGATAGCCACTACATTAAGGGTCAGTTAACATCACATGCAGTCCAGTGCGCTTTTTTCTGCATCAAAAATGCATTGATAGTACCTTAGATTGTACGCCCCTTGAGGGTTAGGGACTGATGTGAATGTACAATATATATGTAAAGTGCTGAGTAAATTGACGGTGCTGTATGAGTACCTGAAATAAATAATAATAGTAGATTACATGGTTTTCAATGGCATAGTTCACCCCAGTGTGGTCAGTTCCAATGCATTCCAGTTCCAGAAAAAAAAAAGTAGAATATGCTGCCATCAGAAATGGATAAAAGCAGACTTGGGCCATAGGTAAGATAGCCACAACATTAAGGGTCAGTTAACATCACATGCAGTCCACTGCGCTTTTTTCTGCATCAAAAACGCATTGATAGTACCTTAGATTGTACGTCCCTTGAGGGTTAGGGACTGATGTGAATGCCTGATATATATGTAAAGTGCTGAGTAAATTGACGGTGCTATATAAGTACCTGAAATAAATAATAATAGTAGATTACATGGTTTTCAATGGCATAGTTCACCCCAGTGCGGTCAGTTCCAATGCATCCCAGTTCCAGAAAAAAAAGTAGAACATGCTGCATGTTGTCTGCACTAAATGTACTAGGACGCAGTAAAACGCATCAAAAATGCACCACCAAAAATGCACCAGAATGCATTTGTCCTTATTTACATTGAAGAAAAAGAGAGGGGGAAAAAAATGAACCGACACGCATCAAAAATGTGCCAACAGAAACGCATACGGACTGCAATTCTATGGTGTGAACCAGCCCTTAAGTTTAAGAAAAAGGGAGGGGAAAAATGAACCAGAACGCATTAAAAACGCACCGGTACGCGTCAAAAATGTGTATACAGAAACTCATCCGGAATGCATTTCTATGGTGTGAACCGGCCCTAAAAATATATACATCTATAAAGTCCGCTTAAAAGCCAAAACTTCTGGGCAGGGGCGGACTGACAACTCATGGGGCCCCCGGGCAATAGGGGATCATGGGGCCCCTGTGTCCTTGCCCAAACTCAAAAAAGCCTATGAAAAAGGTACCAGGGGCATCTCATGGGGCCCCCTACTGACCCCGGGTCCTCGGGCAGTGCCCGAGTTTTCAAACGGTCAGTCCGCCCCTGCTTCTGGGAATATCAATCTCCACATCCCCTGCTGTGCTCAATGGTTCTTCCCAGTGTCCTCCATGTCAGTAAAGGACACAGTGGTGTTATGGAGGTCAGCAGAGGGGACCACTGAGAGAAGCACAACACTCCTGCAAGTGCCAGTTTTAGAGCAGACTCCAGAGGAAGATTTCTTTTCAACAGAGCAGCAACTAACGGTACAGGCCAGTATTCACTCTTTTGCAAGGACAGCTTTTGACCAAGTTAATCTAAGGTCCCTACCTCACATGCATACTGTATATGAACTAGGGCCAATTTAGACATATGCCAATTAACCTACCAGCATGTCTTTGCAGTGTGGGAGGAAACCCACATAAGCACAGGGAGAACATGCAAGCTCCTTGTAGGTAGTGTTATGGTTGGGATTTGAACCCTTGACCTAAGTGCTGTAAGGCAGCAGTGCTAAACACTAAGTCACTGTTCCTCTCCTCCTCCTCCTCCTCCTCTCCTCCTCCTCCTCCACCACCACCACCAAGGATTGAAGTGCTTGGTCAGAATTGCACACCTTGCTGTTGAATGACATGCATATGAGCCGTTTGGGGGATTAAAGTGCACACATTGCTTCTGGAAGGCATGCATCTGGCCTATTGAAGTTCAACTGAATGGAGATTTAAAGTGCAGGCATTAGGACTGAACATGTTTTTTTTAACCAATTCTACAGAGCTTACAATCTAACTTCCAAACCTCACAGGTGTATATGTACTAGGGCCAGCTTAGAAACAAGCCAGCTTGTTTTTGGAGGAAACCCACACAAGCACAGGGAGAAGATGCAACCTCTGTATGGGTAGACCACTGGTTGGGATTTGAATCAACAACCCAAGGGAGAAGCACTAACCACTTAGCCACTGTGCTGCCCAAGGGCTTCCTTTAGTGGTTGCACCTCAAACTTTCAATCAACCCAAATGCATGCCCTTCAGAGGCATTGCATGCACTTTTGCAATTGCACCCCTGAGGTTTTTGGTACTTTTATGGAAGTATGTAAAAAAAAGGTTGATCAAATTTTAACCTATAATTCCTGTGTGCTTTATATCATATTTGACTGCAAGGCAATGGAGATCACCCCCTAAAGTATATACTTTTCATCATAGAGAAAATCATTTTTCAGGTTCCAATAAAACACAGAATGGAACGGAGCTTTTCAATAGAAATATTTTTTTTTCTAAGCGGCTGTAAGTCTCCCCTTAGATCTGTCAGTTCTAGGACCCCCTGCCAGCTCCCAAATAACATCAGATAAATGCATCCAGCTTTCTTCATCTCCCTATGCTTTGTAACCCCTTGGGCAGAGGCTTTGGTGCGAATTATTAAAACAAATTATCACCATCAAAAGCAGCAATCCCAGATGAGCTCTGTGGTTGTCAAGCAAAAGCAGGGCTGGAGAGAGAAAGTCGAAGCTGCTGAGCATGTCACGGTGTGCCAGACAGCAAGAATGGGACAGGGAAAGAGGCAAATAGCTATAGGCACACAAAATACACATGTGCTCAATGGTTCCTCCACATCAGTAAAGGACACAGTAGTGTTAGGCCCATTTCACATGGCCGTGCTGCCTGTCCATTTTTCATCCAGCCATTGACGGATGAAAAAATTAACAACAATATATTTCTATGGAACAACGGATATGAATGGATGATCATCTACTTACATCCAGGTCCATTTAGGTAAATTTTTTTTAAAAAAGGCCAAGGCACAATTTAGATCTAAGGACACGAAATGGAACAGATGTAAACAGATGCTGTCCATTCGCATTTATTCCATTTATGTCTGTTTTTAGGCAATAAACAAAATTTGTTTATACAATTGTCACCTCTGATTGGTTTCTGCAACAACTAAAAGATGAGATGCAAAAACAGTTGTAGACCGATGTAAACTGAACTGTACTGATATAAACTGATGTAAACTGAACTGTACTGATATAAACTGATGTAAATTGAACTGAAGACACATGAAGGAGGCCCTCAGTAAGGCCCTTCCACACGGGGCATTCTCTGTTGGAGTCCACTTGCACAGCGGTGTATCTGTACGCTTATTCCCACTAAACAAGCAAATGGCTGGTCCATGTCTGCTCCGCTTAAGCAGAGCAGACACAGCACATCCTTCTCCATGGTAGGTTGGATGTAAACAGACCACCAGGGGTCATTGGTTCAAATCCCAACCACAGCACCACCTGCCTGGAGCTTGCATGTTCTCCCTATGCCTGCATGAGTTTCCTCTAGGTATTCTGGCTTCCTCCCACACTCCAAAGACATAATTGGACCCCGTCTAAATTGGCCCTAGTATGTGTATACTTGAGGGTTATGGACTGATGTGAATATACATGTAAAGCACTGCATAAATTGATGGCACTATATAAGTACCTGTAATAATATATAAATACCTATAATAATAAAAAAATTTGAAAAGGCTATACATCCTCTTTAAGGGATAAGCTCACCATTTGTAACATGTTACACCCATATTTCAGGTTTAACGCATTGCAGTAGCTGCACCCTGCACCCCCCCCCCCCCCCCCCCCCCAACTCCTAGCTGTGACAGCCATCCAGAAATCCTCTCCCTGTACCTGCTGTCACATTTTTTAAAAAAGGGGCCGTGTGGGGCTCTGGACACCCAGCTGCATCATTCTTCTGTAAATGAACGAACTACAAGTACCGACAGCCTTTGTGGCTGACGGCTTGCAGTTCTCATTAAACTACCAGGGTGTTGAGTGCTCAAGGGTGGTTCATTGATGGTTCCTGTCATTGTGTAACTACCTGCCCATATGATATGAGGTATGAGCAGACAGCTTACACTGATAGTATGCAGGAGCCTGATATTGCACCCATTATTTTCTGAGCACTGGTGCAATGCTTTACAGGCTCCTAGTAAAAAAAATAATAAATGCACTTTTTTTTTTACGTGCAAAAAAGATGTGCATTTATTATTTTTTTTCAACA